ACCTGAGCGCGCGTCGCAAGCAAATGACTCACACGAGCGAAGAGCAAGACAGTTCGCTGCTGAGAGATCGGATACCGATCTCATTCCGATGAACTACGTAAAACAGGGAATCATGGCAACAGGATTCGTAGACAGGGATAGGATGCGTGACTGGAGAAGACGTGAGAATGTAGGTTGCACTACAATGACCTTTTGTTACGGACGCGCATTTGAGATGAACAGCAGGCTCGCCATGGCACATGCGATCGTTTAAGCGTGAGATTTTTCGTCGTGTGAGCTGCGGTCGTCGTTCGAGCTGGTGGGGGCACCAGTGGCATTGGTAGCGTTCATGGCGGTACCAGCAGGCAAGTTAGCAAGGCGGTCGGTCTCGCGGTCGATTCCTCGGAACAAGAACCAAGTAAGGACTCCCGCAATAGCGCTGAGAAGTGCGCAGGTGACGTATTGCCAGACGAGAAGGGGATCCACGGTGAGAGGGAGGAGAGCCTGTTGGATAGCAGCCCCAAAGGCGTTGGTGAGGAGGAACAGAGACATGACGATGGACTTCATGTTCTTGGGTGCGAGCGTAAAGGCAACTTCAAGACCAGTGATGGAAGCAAAGACTTCGCTCAGACCGACGAAGACGTATGGAACCGTCTGAATCCAGACATTGAGATCGGTCTCGCCTTCCAAAAATCCAGGTCCTTCAACATTGTCGCATTCCGTGGCGTAGTCACCGCAAGGAGAGCGTTGGTAGATGTAGTGTTGGATGACGGCTGCTGCGACCATGGACGCAGCGCCGCAGGCGAAACCTGCGACTATGCGCTTGATGGGAGAGAAGTTGATCTTGAGCTTGCGCATGAAAGGGTAGATGACCAAATCGAAGAGGGGCACAAGGATGATGATCGAGATCGGATCCAAATTGCTAATGACCTCGTTTGGAACGCCGTTCTTCTTCATGTTGTACGCCTGAGAGATCAAGTTGCTGCTGATTTGGTTGTAGGTGATCCAGTAAAATGGGTAGAGGGTAAAGACCTGGCAAGCTTTGATGGCCTTGCGAACCTCCTCGACCCAGATATCGTCGAAAGTCATCCACGATGGACGCTGTTCGGGCGCGATGCGGCTTGGCTTGCCCTTGCTCCAGAAATCGGCGGCGGTCAGGTTCTTGTAGAAGCGCACCGGGTTCCACGAGAATGTGCCCTTCATGCAGAAAGCGATCAGGCGGCAAGACTGTTCAAGGACGGATCCGTTTGGCGGATTCTTGACGTAGAAACGGCTACCGAATGCCATCACTGGCAAGCAAAGCGCGAAGACGGCTGTAGGAATCAGGTATCCTTGCCAAAAGCCGTGCAATTTCTCGGTGTAGCTGATGGACACTTGACCAACCACGGCGCCGATGTTGATGAACAGGTAAAAGTACGCAAACAGGCGACCAGTGGTGAGCGCTGGGTCGACGATGACACGCTCTCCGCTGGGAAGAGTGCGCAAGTGCTGCCTATCCGTGGGCACTTGCTCGGCAATCAAAGGGGAAATGTTGGACTTGAAACCACCAGTACCCAGGCCCATGATGATGATTGCGAGCCAGAACACTCCATAAGCACCTTGAGGGTTGTTGACAAGCAAATCGGGCGCGGCTGATCCGATCAGAATGACGTGTCCAGCGATGGCGATCAAAACACTAAGAACGATAGTTTTGTATCTGCCAATGTACTTCTCAGCAATGTATGCACCAAATAGAGGACAAACGTAAACCCAGAATGTGTTGAAGGTGGTACCTGCAGTAGCGGCTTGCTGTCCTCTGCCCAAAGCCCCAGGCTGGTCGTCAGGGTTGACAGGAGCCCCTGTCCTGGAGCCAGCAGGCAAAGGCTGCTGAATGAAGTTTTGAAAGACGACAGTCGTACCGTAGTAGCTAAGACGCTCCGCCAGCTCGCAGAAGGAGATGATGTACGCGGTCCAGGGAATCTTCTCGGGGACACGACGCAAGTTTATGCGATCTTCGTCTGTAGGAAGGGGGCCATACTCATCATCGCTCACAACGGCCTTTTCCAAGGGTGCAGCGGGCTCGAGGTGACCAAGGGGATGTATGTCAGACTTGAGCCCGCTCTGTTGAAGATCTGCCTGGTGGATGTCGTTGGCGAGTTCAGCCTCAGCAGCAGCAAAGGCATTGGTTGCTTGCGCCATTTTGGATGGGAGTCTGTAGGGAGGAAGTGAGGTGAGATTGCTAGGGCAGGGATGGGATGAGATGGGCCAAGTAGAGGATGGGAAAGGAATGGGGGGCGGGGAGGGGAAGAAGGTCGATGACTGCACGGGAATGTGTGCTGTGATGGGAAGTGGACATTGCAAGATGGGCAGGGTTGCGCTTCTTATGCTGGAGAAAGAAGAACGCCTATCTTCGTGCTCGCGCGACAAGGTTACCGGCCGCATGGTCTCAGTGGCGGCACTAATCTTCAGGGCATCTTACTGATTGCAACTCATTTCTGAAGCACACAGTTCCACCGCCCATCTAGTTTCTAGTCGGCACTATCACATCACGATTTGTTAAGAGTCCACACGGCGAAGCGGCAGGAAAAGTGGATATGCGTACGCACGCGACTTGGACCGTCTTCGAGGCCTCCGACCCAAAATGGCGTGAGATATGGGTAAGCGTGGACGACGCGTTAGAACTTAAGGCGAGTGCCGAGTCGGCGTTCCGGAGCACTTGGCGTGGGGTCGCAGTCGCGCGAGCACCGGCGGATGCCGCTATACGGTGTGTGTGCCATGCTGAGAGATAGGAGGAGGCCCGGCCCGGTGTGAATCGACGACGTCGACTGGTGAACTGCTTGCTCTCTTCACGTTGCTGCACATATGGGTTGCATCAGCAGCTGACGGCAAGCAAGTGCCGATGTACCGTATATGTATGCGTGATAAGTGCAGCAGCATGCAACAGCGTGGATGCGCGCGGCGTCGCTGATCCCGCCGTTTTGACCGGCGTCTGCTGGGACACACTGCTTTCGTGCCTGCGGCCCGGCGGCAAGGCCGGCAGCGCTGCGGGTAAGTCGTGAAGGTCAGGCATCATCACTGCGCGCGCGCGCATTTTTTTGCGTCCCTAGCAGACCTGGCAGGAACCATGCATGCTCTGCTAGGGAATCTCCATGCAGAGCTGAATTCTGCAAGCTGTGCAGACTGAGCAGAACCCCTGCACCCAGGTGTCCCTAGCAGACATGGCAGGACCACTGCTCTGCATACAAAGCAGACTGAGCAAGACCTCTGCACCAAGGTGTCCCTAGCAGACAAGGCAGAACTGCTGCTCAGTCTGCTCTGGACACACACTCATGTAGCTGCATGAGAGGGCTGAGTGTATATATTGTGCAGATAAACCCCTCATTGCATACAAGTTTGTGCCTCAGTGGCAGAGCTTCAGTCTTGAAGATTTCAATACTGGTAGGTGTGTGACACTCAAGGAAGGTCATGGGTTCAATTCCCATGAAGACCCTTCGTTTGCATAAAATTTAGCATCTCTGCTCCGGATCCTGAGCAGACCTGGCAGACATGCTGCTCAGCCCAAAATCCTGAGCAGACCTAGCAGACATGCTGCTCAGGGGGTCCCTGCCAGACTTGGCAGCATGTCTGCAAGGTCTGCTCAGGATTTTGGTTTGCATCTCTGCTCAGTCTGCTAGGGAATCCTAGCGGGAACGTAATACAGTGTGCTCTGATGACCTAGGTGCATAGTTCCTGCCAGGTCTGCTAGGGACACAAAAAAATGCGCGCGCGCGCAGTGATGCATCAGCACGAAATGCTGCCCAGCACCGAGCAAGCGCGGTCACGCCGCTAAGCGAGCATCACGGACAAACCTGCGTGATTGCGACTTCTTGAGCACGCAACCGCCTCGACCAACCGCCTTCGCTCGCACTCGAGCTACTTGATTGCGAGGATGAATCACAAACGCTGCATTTGCTGGCGGGACCTTACAGC